CCCTCTGCCCCCCAGTTTTCGCAGCACGCTTTGAACATGAACTGGCTGTAAACTAACTTTTGTTAACATGAGTTTTCTTAGCAAGTGTTTGATTGGTCTGATTGGCAACAAAGCGCACTTACCTAGAGTCTGATTGGTCTGATTGGCAACAAAGCGCACTTACCTAGAGTCTGATTGGTCTGATAGGCAACAAAGCGCACTTACCTAGAGTCTGATTGGTCTGATTGGCAACAAAGCGCACTTACCTAGAGTCTGATTGGACTGATTGGCAACAAAGCGCACTTACCTAGAGTCTGATTGGTCTGATTGGCAACAAAGCGCACTTACCTAGAGTCTGATTGGTCTGATTGGCGATCAGCTGCTCACAGACAATCCGGTACGGCTCCCGCTCAGCAAACATGTCCTCTGTAAGATCCATGGAAACTGTAACAGTCATCCACCCAAAGTCCTACAATGACAAACAAATAAAGAAAATATATCCAATTTACTAAATGAAACCAGCGACAGTTTACAAAAACAAAAAGAAGATTTGTTTCGTCTTAAGAGCGCATCCACAGAATAAGGTCCTGAAAAGCTATACAGTGAATATTTTGCGAAATGACAACAGGTGTGCCGTGAGAGATAAACTTAAGCCACACACATGGGACTGCATTAACATGAATAAACAGAAACAAAGGTTGTAGAAAGAAAGGGTCCAATTAGAATAATAGAAATCCATCCCTGATGTGAGGTATGGATAAGGTTATTCAAACCCAAGGGATAAAATATTGAGCAGGAGACCCGAGTCTTTGCCGAGGGTCTTTTGCCCAATATTTTATCCCGAGGGTTTGAATAACATAACCTTATCCTTACATCATATCAGGGATGGTTTCTATTTCTTGCTTATTACCTAAAAACCCGTAAAAACAACTGCTCTTCTAGTAAAGTTGTAAACTGTCCGCACATTTCTCATTTGCATATAAAGCCCGGATGGCAATTTTTAGTGACGTCAATGACCCTGACTGACCCCAAAATGTCATAAAATGACATCACGAACAATAGCGTGACCCCAAAAAGTCACTATAATTCCCCCGCCAGTCTGCGCGTGTAAGCGATCCAGACCCGTGGGTCGGATATAATTTTCCAGCACCGCCGGAAATGCGGATATCTCGGTCTAGTATGCAAGAAGTATATATCTAAAATACTTCGATGTTCTCTTAGCAGGGAAACACAATAGAAGACCCCCTATTCGGTAGGGGATCCAACGTTAGTCGCTTCGTATGATCATGCAGCGGGAATTAGCAGGTTTATTTGAAGTTTAACGTCCCCGCATATAAGGTGGTACATGTAGGCGTTGCTGGTGGATTTCTTAGTCTCCGATGTTTGCCGTTACTTTTATTGCACCTTATATCTTAAAATATCAGACTCTGAATAACAATGTTTTGTTCTATTTAACGTATATTACTTTGCTTCTCAAATAGAGTGTCTTTAGTGTATTCGTATACAGATATGTTAATTCTAGCGTCTACTACTATCAGATGCTTTGTTATGCCTTTCGCAGCATTTTGGATCTATACTTCTAATTGGACCCATAGTAATGGTTTTCCATTAGCGACAAGGTTCATTTTAATTTAACCAGTACTGCTCCTAATTTTAAAATTCATAACACTAATGGGTTTTAGGCACATACTCTTTGAATCTGCTGATGGTTTTTTACTCCCCGATACTTGCTGTAATATTGATGGCCACAGCTATATCTTTTGAGTAGTGACAATGTTAATAATATACACACTTTACATGACATATCTATCTTTAATCAATACTCCTATTCATTTTGAAAGTCTTAAATGAAGAGGTTTTACGCACCTGTCCCTCTATTTCTACAGCAGTTTAGACAATATGGATTATTTTGGCAAACTATTAGCCCCTAGCATCACCGATGAGACCTAGAAGGGCTTCACACATGTAACATAGTGTAGTTTGTTTTTTGCAGACTGTATCTGTTATCAAATTGTATAGGTACAATTACTGGTATGTGTGTCGAGTTCATCTTTCAGCAGCAGTTTATACCAATTAAGATATCCAACGTGTTGGTCCCTTATATTAATGATGAGCTATAAAATGACGAAACAGCTGTATGATATATTGTAATTCATTGACTTACAACTTAGTGTTTATGAGTTTTGATGTAAATGTTAACATTGCTTGGCTTTATTCATCGACTTTAAATCAGTGTTAATTCGTGTTTTTCCAGTCATTACTTGCCGAGTGCAGTGGGACACAATCAAACGATTCCTCCTCAAGAACCAGCAATGATGATTTACCAGGTAAATAAAAACATATTTTAATTTGCAATATTTGCAGAGGTAATGGTTTTCCTTCTTGAAGAAATGCCCCCGTCTAGACTTCGGCATATTGTAATTTACTGGATCGCGTTATATCAATATTGACGAGCAAATTAGAATGACAAATTATAATGAACACAGGACGCACGTCTGTGACAGAATTCGAGGTTGGTGTACGCTATAATAAAGACTGATTAGAACGGTTCTCAGTTTCCTGGCTTCCGTCATTCGTCTATCGGTGGCAATTATTGGAGTTTGTTGGAGGAAACGTAGCACTTACATTTTGTTGTGTCAGTTTTGACGATAGACATTTCATACTGTTTTGATACAAGATTGATTATAGTCGCTCAACAACAATCGAGATGTACTGCTCTTTTTGTATAAAAACATAGTATCCGCTATTGAGGAAGTTCAAATAAACATGGCTATAATCATCTTCGTGTGGACAGCATGTCGTCGTTTCAAACGCTGGTATCATATACACTGCAAACAATATCCCACTTAAACCCCTACATAATCGGGAGAGAACATGACTACTGTAGTACATGGTAGGTTATTTTAGGGTGCAACTGGTGTAGTCAGGCAATCACTGTTAGTGGAGTTTTTTTCGCGAGTGGAAATGTTCGCGTTGTGGTCCTTTTGAATGGTCGTGGTGTGGATTGCGTTGGGACTAGTCCGATATCTTCATATTCTCTTTATCTATAATCTATATATTCTGTAAAGAAAGTTTCGCGTTTGGATATTTTCTCGTTAATCATCTCATTGCGAAAACCGGAACATTTTCACATCTCAAACATTTCGACGTTTACAGTAAAAGGGTGCCTTTTGGCATTACTATAATTACAATTTTAACTAACTAGCAACGATTTTTCGAAACATTGTATTGACTTTCTTTGGAAGTTTCACGAATTAATTCCTATATTAACTTTTCTAAAATAGAACTTGAAAATATATTTGATTGTATAACATTTCGACAACAACTTATATTTTGGATTTAGCCGTTTGGACACCGAAGATAACCTTGTCTAAATACTAAATTCTACTAAAGATCATATTATTCAATTAGAAACCTTCATGGATTCTGGAAAATAGAAAAGTATCGCACACACAGGTGATTTCACCTTTAAAATTTTGTGATATATACAATATGCTTCGTCCTTCTAGATCTCATCGATGATGTAAGGGGCCGAAACAAGTTCGAAACCCTTATTGGTCTAGGTTACTGTTGAAACAGCGAAAGAGTTGCATAGAAACCCATAATGTATCATTTTCAAAACTTGAAAGAGTACTGGTTCATTGAAAAAAGGTATGTATAGTATGACTAGTGCCTCTACTCGTATGACAATTAACGTAGCCATCATGGTTATTGCAAAGCTCGGGGACTAAACATTAAATCAGCAGTCTACCACCTTGTATCTTGACAGATTTGATTTGGTGTCCTCTATTTTGGGCTACAAAAACGACCAAAATAAATCTGCTCAACCATTGCAATATTTGGGATCTTTATCTTTTTTCCTTCGTCTAACTACCTTTTATTTCCTATAGCCTTGCTTGGCAACACCTCACATTTAGCCTTAATATTGAGCGTTCGCCCAGGTGAGGAAGGCAATGGGTTCTGGCCAAGGGCCGGGACATACCAGAGTCTTTAAAAATGTTAGTTGTTGTTCTCTGCTTAACGTTCAGCATTTAGGGGAATGGCAACATCTGGTTCACTCAATGTGAGTATAATTTGACCGGGCGGAAAGCTGTGCTGGGTGCCTTCAGCATGGTATTTCAGTGAGAGTGCACTATAAAGTCGGCATCAGATCCGCAAGAAGGCAAGCACCCCAACATACCATGTCTCCGGCATACACACACGCAAGCACGCATACACTACACGCATGGAGGCTCGTCCTTAAATGACCCTAGCTGTTGGTATGACGTTAAACGAAACAAAACTAAACCAAACCATCCTCAAATTACTTAACGTATTCATTACAGCAACCAAGTTTCATTTAAATTCTGAATTTTGGAAACGGATTTCAACAACGTTCCAACAAAAGGTTGTGGTATTACTAAATATGGTTGTTCCGAGGTGATTGGTGATAGTGGAAAAGCAAAATATTGTTTTCGAGTAAAAAAACGACAAAATAAAAAAAACCAGAGCTGATCATTTTTTTTCATTATCTTTGACAATGCCATTTAAAATCTGTATTTCAGAAAATAAAAGCCACTCCTCCGGTCAGGGTTCAGATCAATTGTTCCGTCTGTCAGTCAAATTGCATACTTTATAGCCGATTCGGTTGTGGAGCAAGAGCACTTTTGTGCTATCTAAACAAGAAATAGGAAATGTTATGAACATGTCTTGTTATGTTTTTCTTCACGTAAAGAACTCGTAGTAATACCGTTTGAGCCTATCACCAACTGCGCGGAAATGCTCGTTACTGTTCTATCAATTTTAAATAACTGAACACTTCTGTAGTTATGCCACCATTCTATTGCAATAACTGTTTACAGACGGTCATTTTAACTTTTTGACTCCTTTGTACTCTGTGTTAGTCATTCGTGATCTGATTTACATATGTTTGTTGATGTAAATTTTAAGTAAACTCCGACCACACAGGGCAATAACTCTTAAACTCTATCACCCTGGAGCATGAACAGATACATGACAACAAATGTATATAAAACAAACAACAGCAGCTATCAACCTATCACTGCTGACGTTAACCGTAACGAATTGTTTTTAAATTCTTAAAAGATCCTATGTCATTAACGGTATGTCGTTCCATACATTAAATACCAAAGGGACTATTACACAGCTCTGCATATCATACGCAAAAATTATAACATGTAAGTGGTGCTAACATGTCGAGACTCGGAGATGTTTTCAGGAATTGATAAAATAGGTTGAATATTTTATTTACCATCATTAGAACTGAAAATTAGAAGTGTATATGTAGCATTGACGTTTAATGATTACCGGTTCAGATCAACATACACAGAGATCATTGCTGTCATGAAAAACACAGCTAAAAGAAAAATGCAGATGACAGATAAGAATCAAAGATCACAAAGGTAGAAAAGGGTTAAAATTAATGTTTTGTCTCATCGGTGTTCGAAATCAAATACTTCCGATTCTGCA